ATACTAGAGGGTACTATGTGGCTCAATACTATCAAAGATTACGTGTTAAGGCCTTTGAAAATTCTTAGGACAGTTTCGTTATACTTATTATATATCAGGAACTTAATCTAAAGCGCTAAATACCAAGGACAATTTTGATATCAAGAGGTTAGATTTAATTTTACTATAAAATTCACATATCAGGAACTTAATCTAGAGTGCTAAATACCAAGGACAATTTTTTTGGGAAAATGTTCTAAAGCTTTATTTTGCTATACAATTTCGGTTATACTTTTGTAATATATAAAATTTTTTCATTAGATTTAACTTATATATGAAAAATACGTTTTATAAAGATTTAATATATATCTAGTACTATAATTTTTTCTGTCCTAATTTCCCCATCGATATATTAAATTTTCAGTTAGATTTTGATTAGATTTAATGAAATAATATGCATTTTAACTTGCTAGAACGTTTGAGAAGGGATCAGGATATTTATTACATTCATATTCTTCACCATTTCTTATTGTTTTTTTAACAGCAAACAGAGTAGCGTAAAATAAATCTAACAAAAATTTATTGAAAATGTGACCTAAAATTTTTTTTGTCCTAATTTTTCCATCGATATATTAAATTTTTGGTTAGACTTTGGTTAGATTTAATGAAATGATATGCATTTTAGCTTGCTAGAACGGCTGAGAAGGGATCAGGATATTCATTACATTCATATCCTTCACCGCTTTTCATTGTTTTTTTAAACAGCAAGTGGAATAGCATAAAATAAATCTAACTAAATTATGTCAAAAATGTGGTCTAAAATATAAATCACACGTCATTCGAGTGTGGCCTAAAATAAAAAACTCACGTCATAGTTAGATTTATAAATCTAATCAAAAATTGATCATGGATTTGAACTTCTAGCAGGCGTAGCACACTATTGTCAATATTGACGATTTTGTCTCAAAACCCCTAAATTTCCAATGTGTTTATAATTTATTGAAACTTTTCGAAAAAATTGAAAATATAACAATTTTCTATACAAATTTTTTACAAAAAATTTCCAGAATATTGTGAATTTTTTTGTAAAATTTCCAGAATATTTGCAAATTTTTATTATAAAAAATTCTGAAAAACTGTGAAAATTTTCAGAATATTACGAATCTTTTTTCTGGAAAATTTCAGGAGTCTATAGAACTTCTGGAAAATAATTGAGCTAAAAAATTTCCGGAGATTTTTGCCTTTTAAAATTTCCTGATGAATTAATATAATTATATATAAAATTATCAATTATTATCACATATAAAACATTTTATTTTATAAGAAAATGTCAATTACAGTACTAAGTAATCTCAATTACAAAAATTAATTATACTTTATGCAAGAAGTATAAGTCAATTTCATCAAAATTAAACAAATAGTAGCTGTTTTTAAATTTTTTTTCCATTTCAATTTTATCTATTTATATTTTTCTTAATTTTAATAATATAGGTCTGTTCTTCTTACAAAAGGTAAATTTTTTTCTTATATTTAAGATTATTTAATAGTATTTTTAATATTATCTTATTAAAATAAAAAGTTTTATATGTAGCAATGATGATGAATTATTTCTGATTCTTATAAATTAGAATTATACAGGAGATTTAAAATAGTTTAGAAAGTTTGAACAAGGTTTAGAAGGTTTGGGTAAAGTTTAAAAATTTCAGAATTTGGATAAATTATGTAAAAGGTTAAACCTCCTTTAGGATGGTTTTGGCTTTTTTCTAAACTATAGAATTTAGTCTCCATTACTATATTATATGAATAGTTAAAAATTTTTAAATTTAAGTAAAATAATTTTGTCTTTTATGAAAAATACTACATTTTTCAATTTATTTTATTCCTTAAAATTATATAAAATTTAATTTCAGATGTAAGTATAATTTTTAAATTTAATTAATTTGACTCATTAAGAATACCATTACTAGTGATATCTGTTATAATTTAAAAAAAGTGATACAATTAATTATAATATATGATATAATTAATTAAGACATATAGTAACTAGTTGTAACTTTTGTAAATAATTATAACAGGTATCTTTAATTACTACTTTATATGCTATCCAAATTTAAAAAAGAAAATATTAACAATAGAATTAGCAAAATTTTATTATTAATATTTCATTTTTTAAAATTTGAACAGTATGTATGATTATAGTATTCCTAACAAATTGCACTAGTTAAATACAAAAGAATCACTGTATCAAATGGTAATTCCTATACTATAAATTAGCTAAAAATCAATAACAATTGATTGTTCTATTGTATCCTATATTATAATTAGCAAAATCAAAATTTCTTTTTGATATGGTATATCTTTTATATTTGACCTGTGTTAAATTATCAAATCAAAAAATAAAAATTTTATTATGTTTTTAATATGTATGCAAATTATATGTGAATTAATGAGTTTATATACAGTATTTGGAGTTTTAATTACCACTATTATAAAATTAATTAAAATGACATTACTATTTAAAAATATAATAAATAAATATATATTTTAAATCTAATAGTCATATATTTTATAATAAATGTAACAATAAATATAATATTTTCAAATATATATTTTCTTATATGATAATTCAAATATTACTTTATTGGATCTAATAAATTATTTGTAATTAAATTCATATCAAATTAATTAGTACAAGATTTTGTCACTACTTCTTTAAAACAATTAACTCAACTTATTAAAACTAAATATACTAAATTTATATTTTAATAAAAATTAATTATAGTGTTGTAAATAAAAATTCAATGAATACATGCAAGAATAATTTCTATTTATAAAAGAAGCTTCAATATTCAAATCTATTTATAATACAAAACAAATTAAGCAAATTGTTTAATAAATGTTAGCCTTTTTGTCTATTACTTCTTAAATTGTGAACTTTTGTTGAAATAATTTTAGATGGTTGAAAATTTATATTTCTAGATGAAATGATATTTTCAGATATAGGAAAATAATCATTTGTAATTTTGTTTGTAATGGAATTTTCATTTCTGAAAGATTGAGTATTTATTTTTTTAGATGAGATTACTTTTCTTAATCCTGTATTATTTATAATCTTGGATAAGATAATATTTTCAGATGTGGAAAAAAGTGTGTCTTGAGTATCTATAGTTTTGGATGGCTCAACAATAACATTTTCTGATAATTCAATACTAACATTATTATCATTTGTGTTATTCAATAATTCAATATTGGTTGAAGCACTATTTGTTGTAACCTTTGATGAATTTGCTATTTTGGTCTTTGGAAATTTATTATTTGAAGTTTTTGATTGAGACTTAAGAAAATATTCTTCAGGAAGCACAAATTCTGATTCTTCCAAGTATACCTCTTCTGGAATATTGAAAAATGTGAATTTTGATGGATTAACAAAATAATTTTCAGGCAGTACAAAATCATCATCTTTTTCAAGTATACTATCAGGAATTATAAAAAATTCAAAGTGAGGAAGAGTTTCATTGATTTGATCTACATTTACAGGAATCTCATTTGCAGATTTTTCATTAGGAAAACCTTCAAAAACTTCATCAATTCTATCAGCTTCAATAACTTCATTGACCTTAACAGCTTCATTAATTTCATTGACTTTATCAGCCTCATTAACTTCATTAACCTCATTGACTGTATCAACTTCATTAACTTTATTGACTTCATTGACTTCATCAATTTCATCAATTTCATTAGTCTCATTGACTTCATTAACTTCATTGTTTTCATCGGAATTCATTTGATTTATAGATACATTATCATTATCGTTATCAATCATTTGTGTCTCCACATCAGTTTCCATATTATCATCATCATTCCCAAATAGTGCATCAAGCTGGTCAATAGATGCTTCTAGCTTCGGATTAACACCTGCAACAAGATTGGATGATGTTTCACTTTGTGAATCGATCAATTCATCAGTCTCCTCATCATCACCCAAGATTGATTCCAACTCTAACAGGGTGTCAGTAAAACGCACGTGATGTGGCCTTCTATTTACTAGATTACCAAGAAGGATCTTAGTGACAACATTATTATAACCGGTCACATGTGTACTAACGTGAGGGTCATGATGTTCTCCCCAGACACTCATCATTTTATGTTCTAATTTTAATCGACCTTTTTCTTTCTCTTGTCGTTTTTTCTTATTACGCATACGTTGTACGTTGCTCCCACAAACCAAAATTTCTGGTGTATCTTGATTTAAATCGATACCATTTATTGTGTTTTGCGAACTAAACTGAGGTAATTCATATTCAACTTCTGGAATAAATTCTCGGGCCTTTTCCTTTCCTTTATGGTTTGGTATCATCATCGATACCAAAATTAATGAATATTTTGAAATAAAAAAAAAAAAAAAAAAAATTTAAAAATGAAGGACTATACAAAAAAAAAAAGGAGGATTATAACAAAAATCTCACTCGGGTTAGAAAAACCGAGAAAGAAATTTAAAAGAACGATTTGTTTGATTAAATAATTTGTTTATTTCTTAGATTACCCAATTAAAAATGAAGACACAAAAAAGGAATTTTTAGCAAAATTATTGACCAAAATGAAAGTTGGTAATCATCATGGGAACTCTGGTGATTATACCTTTTATAGTCAACCTAATTTTTAATTATAATTGTCCATGTGCTTATAAAAGATTATTATTAAAACCGATTCGAAAAAATATATTTAAATTGTTTTTAATCGTTCTGAATTTTATTTATAATAAATTATACAAATCTCAACTCTATTCTCTCAATCGATATGTATATTCAGATGAAATTCCACGAAAGATTCTTAAATTATGGCATGCGATATTTCCGAAATAAATACTGAAATTTCGGTTGCTTTTTTTATTATCATAAGAGGTTTGTATTTTTATAAAAAAGTCAAATAAAAAACTATATATGGCATACAAATGAAGAAATCAAAATTGTTATAATATAAAATGATGATGGTAAAAGGAAATAAAAAAGCTGTTCTAAAAACTGATTTTAATTATATCCCTAGAAAAATGAAATAATAATTTATGAAAATTTTTTTTTTAATAATAATGCAATGATTTTATTCACAATTGATATTTGATATTTTTTATTATTTTTTATCAATAAATAAAAATTCATTTTACAATAATTTTTGGATACTAAAAATTATAAAAATGTATAATATATGTTAATAAAATTACATATGATTTCTTATTAATTATACCAGTATATGGAATACATGCAATAGAGCAACAAAAAAATCTAACCAGAAATTTGTAGAGGAAATTTGCCTCGCTTCGCTATTACATTAAAATAAATTAAAATAAATTATAAAAATTAATATAAATGCCTAATAAAAATACATAACAATGAATATAAATAAAAATACATAACAACGAATATAAATAAAAATACATAACAATGAATATAAATAATATATGTAAAATACTATAGATACAAAAAAAATAATAATTTTAACATCTTTATTATCTATAATTCCTTTGCTCAAAATTGGAATCATACAAATAATTATGAGACATTTTAACATTTCCAGAATTTGTAATGTTCGTTGGCTGACAATGATAACAATCACAATGTCGATTATGTATAGGACTACCTTCACGACGTATTTGGCAAAAGTACTTTTGTAAAAAAAAAAAATTGAATAAATTATTAATTGAATTGAATTATAATTAACATTTAAGAATTAATATGATTTATCATTAAATGACGTACCCTTTCATCATCTGGGGAACGATAACCAGAATTTAATTTATGATGGTCAACATTTCTTGATAATATTGATGAATTTGGTATGTCATTGCGTGATTCATTTCGCGTACCACCAAATCGTGATGTCAAATCACTAACCCGTCCTGTATGTAATGGTATAGGGACTTCTCTAGGATGTATCTAAAAAAAATTATTTGGAATCATAAAACTGTTATTTTTTAATAATAATAATAATAATAAAAAAAAAAAAACAAAAATTATTTTACTTACATGTCTTCTTTCTTCACTTTGTGTTTGAAAACGATCTCGTATATTTGCAACTGAAATTCCAACTTTATTTGGATCTGAATACGAACGAGTTGCACATAAATCATATCTTCTCGGAGGTGATCTATCTCGGGGAATGTAATGAATTGGCGCTCGTGGTGATATATAATAACTATCATCCAGATCTTCACGTTTGTGATAGTAATCGTTAATGTATCTTCCCCTGTTTCTATGAGATGGCTTTCCATAACCATTATCATAATCATGATGAATTATTTCCCTTTTTGAATATCTATTCAAATCATTGTATCTCCTCTCATCTTCATATCTTATAAAATCTTGATGATAACGATAATCTTCTCTCTTGCGATCGTCCATATCATATTCATATTTAGAATGAGAATTCATTTCTCGTAATTCGGGTTGAATTGGTTTTGGCGAATGAGATAATGAATGTGTGTAAGAATAATCTGAATTGTTATCCAGATAACCATCAGACATTTGCTCTGTTGCGTAAAGAAGAGGTGAACGATTTGGCAATTCGGTAGGAAATGCTTCAACAAGAGAATCAGTGCTCACGCTACACACACTAGGAATATTTCGTAGTGTCTTATCAGAATATTTAAATTCCAACTCTGGTTCTTGATGATTTATATTTAAAGATTTGTGATTCGACTGTAGGTCTTTCTGTCTTTCTTGCATTTCTTGTCTTTCTTGTCTTTCCTGTCTTTCTTTTCTGTCGTTATTTGGTTCAATTTGAAGTTCATTAGTCTTTGTCATTTCATCATCACATTGATCCATATTTTTATCCCCATTTTTACATTGATCAATATTTTTATCCATTATTTTCTTCTCATCCTCTATTTCATCTTTGTCTTTTTCAATAATAGCCTCTGGTTCAATTTTGGGGGTTTCACTAACTTGAGGCTTTATAACATCATATATTGACTTAGAGGCCTTAATAGATTCATCTTCGTTATTAATAATTGGAGTAATTGGCATAATTTCATTTTTTTTCACAAGATCAATTGAATTATTATTGTCTTTACTAATAATCAATTGAGGTGATTCCATTTGTACAATAGACTTTTCATCAGAATTGCTTTCTTCATCAGGTAAAGTGAAATTGTTATTACATAATGTAGAATAATTACTTTCATCAGAAATTGCCTTACGACTTACTGCAAATTCTTCTACAGCTGGAGTCTCTGAAATTAAATATTTTTGGGGTTGAATTGACTTGTCCTCCTTCAATTGAATATTTTCTTCTTCGGATTGGAGTAAAACCTCTTTTTGTTTGTTTTCCATAACCTTTGATGTTTTCACAAAATTCTTTTCTTTAATTTTGACCTTGTTTATATTTGGTTTGAATTCAGCTTTCTCTACTCGATTTTCCATAAAAAGTTCGGCAGCATTTACCTCGACTACCTTTTCATCTCGGAAAAATGGATGATCATCAGCATGAACACCAATTGAAAGGCTTGAAAGCAAGTTTGAATTATTATTATTATTATTATTATTAGATAACTCAGATGTTCCACTCGGAATGGATTTTAAGTCATTTATTTTTTGATTATTTTGATTAACAGGTCTATCATTTGAAGAAGGAATATTAATTTCAGAAGATGATATTGAATTTGGTATTTCTAGTGAACTAAGTGTCGAAGGTTTAGGTTTAGGAATTTGCATATATTTTGTAGGGATACCACTATTAGGATTATCATCAATAATTGATAATGTAGGTTCAGATAAATTTGATTCAGAAGATGGATAATTCATGGCCGTTAATTGTTTTTCAGAAATAGATGCTAAAGAATCAGATATTTTTTCGGAACTTGATGATTTATCCAATTTATCATTGATGTTTACCGGCTAAATAAATTAAAAAATTTTTAATAACATAAAATAAAATTTATTGATGAATTAAAAATTAAATTTTTTAAATAATTCACCTTATCATCCAAAAAATCATCCAAACTTTGAGGTTGTGGCATATCTTCTCCTACAAAAGGAGACCATTCTTTCATTTTTGCAATACTTGGTCCACATTTTTTTAATAAGTCATTAAACGATGAAAATTGACATTCTGTTAATTTACACACTAATTGAGTTATGACAGAATGAGTATTTTTTTCCCGTTTTGTTACTTGATTTGTATATTCTATTTTTGCACGAGAAATTTCAGAGCCCACTGTTGATATTGACGTTATATAATTCTAAAAAAATTTAAATGACTTTAATAATTTAGTAATAATAATATCATCAATAATAAACAGTAATAAGTTGAATCTTACATTGTGAGAATTCAATGAAACTGTGTTATCTTTCTTGGATTTCTTTTCATAATCCTTGCCAATCTTTTTGACCTGCTTATCTAAATCTCCAACGTAGTCAGTATGCGCTCTTTCATCTTTCTGCAAAAAAAAAAAGAAACTCTTTATAATGTGATATAATATAATTAGAAAAAAAACTTCATATCAAATGTTTACAACTTACAATAACTTTTTTGGAATATTTATCCCAGAATTTTTGAAGTGAATCAACATCTTTCTGAAATACTTTATTCTATTCATGATGAAAAAAATCAAACCATTTAAAGATAGAGATAGATAGAGATAAATAGAGATATACAAAGATAGATAAAGATTGAAGGATAAATGAATATCACATACAAGTTTTGTCAATACTTCAGCATTATAATCATAAAATTGGGATGTTGCCTGCAAACACATTACTATAATGAATTAAATTATCAATTAAATCATTAATAAATTCAATGAATTCGATAAAGTTAAAAGATTATAAAAAATAAAATAAATCTACCATGAGTATTTTCTAATCCTTTGCAATTCCCATAATCCTTTAAAGCTTTACTAAACATTTTAGAAACTTTACATAATTTATTCATTAAATCTCGATATGCATCAGCAGCTGAAACAAGACGTTCCAATGCTTCAAAAGCTTTTCGGACGTCTTCGGTAACAGCAGAATGTTTTTCAGAAGAATTATCTTGAGAAGGAAAGTAATTAGACAATAAAGAAGTTCCAATTATAGGTGATAATAATGGAGACATGGGTGGAGAACCAAATAGAGAAAAACGCTTTTTCTTTTGTGTTAAAGCCATAGGAATTTATTAAATTCGTAAGAAAAAAAATAAATATTTTAAAAAATTACAAATTTTTCGTGATATTTGTAAAATGAAAAGACAATTATTTCTACAATGTAAGAAATGCAAGAACATTAAAACCCTTTGGTCCAGGAATTAGAAATTATAGAAATACTTAACCCAAATTTAGAATTCGTTTTTGTGCGTCTAGGGATATAGGGGAATTTTAGTCAGGCGGTTTTTTTGTTTCACAAAGTGCGTTGATATTAGAGGTTATAGCTAAGGGATAGTTAAATATACATATGGGGGGACAACTGAAAAAAAAATTTAAGTAAATCACGCGATAAAATTTCTGTGCATAAAAAAAGGTATTTGTGTATATTATTTTTAACTTGTTTTGTTTTTTTTGTTATAAGAAAAATTGAATCACAACTTTCATATCTTAAAATATAGAAGAAAATATATTTTTTTACTAAAAATGGTAAATGAAAAAAATATTTTTAATAAATTTATTTAAAATTTATATAGGAACATGATATTACTTTATGGATAAATCTAATTGTAACAACTTGTTACACGTTTTATTTATAACAACTTCAAAAATTAGGTCCGGATTGGTCAATTATGTAATGACATGTCACGGATAGACTTTATTAAAATTTATTACAAATATAATATAATAAAGAATGA